TAATCACCAGATTTGGAATATCTACGGCTTATAATTTGATTAGTATTTGTTATAATAAGTTAAATTTATTAAAGCCATTAGAGATTTTTACTTATATTAGGTGTTGCACTGGTATGGAACTAAATATTGTAATGCTACTATACTGTGCTATATGTTTATGTGTTGTATCACTTTCTTCCCATTATACTTACTTGTTTTGCCAGTTTGGAAAGAATGTTGTATTTTTTTTTTACGGATTTGATTCAGTTTATTGGTCATAATCAAGTTATATAGTAACATGTATCTGGATTTGCTATGTGGGATGTTTTTTTAAATCAGTCATTAGGAATTTATATAGATAATCAGTATACATGATTTTAGTACACTCCTATATTATATAGACTATTCTGCCTGTGTATAGGTGAATGAATATGTGGGTTCGAAGTTTTAGTTCAATTAGAGGCCTCAGTTGTTCTATGAATTTCGGAATTCACCATTTTCATGACAAGCTGTACAGTTATCTAGGCAGTAGAATGTCTTCCATAGATAGTAAATTATTGTTAATGTTAATTAGGATTTGAATATTTAACGTTAATCCTTAATATTTTCAGACTTTGGTCTAATAACTGAATTGTTCCTTAGCTGATTTATTAATTTTATTTATATAGTTTATTGGAGGGAGCAATCCATGACATATTCCCTTTACAGCTAGCATGTTTAGATTACAGTTATGGATAGTATTTCATATTTTGACAACAAATGACCATTTATAGTTATTTTCACTTCTTTCCTTAGGCACTTGTCTATATTTTGGTATATTGAACAAGGAATTAACCTGTTCTCTTTTATTGATATCAGAACGAATTATAAATTTGCAGTTTCTTCAGAAATTGGTCTACTCGTTCTTGATGTTCTGTTTTGTTATTACTTCTACCTTAACTCTTACTGTTTTGCTACGGTTGTTAGAGTTTACTGTCAAATTAAACTCCTTTTAGTGATCTTATGTTAGATATTCTTATAAATTTGTTGTAGCTACCTGCTATAGTTATCGAATATCAGCACAAGTTAATTTCGTTGTAAGAAGTTACCACAGCAGTTCACACGCTTTGGTACTCTACCTTTTGAGCTTAAATTGTTCAGCTTTGCATTTGCTAGGATGATTGAGTTTATAAACCTCCTAGTTTTTATTTTTGGTCTTTACTTTGGATCCTAAATGTACTGATGGCATATCATCAGGATGGAATCGATTTTATGGCTGTCCTTTTGTTTAGGCCGTTAGTCCCACATTTGGATCCAATAATTTATTTGATGAGTTTTAGGTTAGGCACATACTACCGGATGTGGGTATATGTGGACCTACCCTTTTTGGTTTATTTGGTTATAGTGTGAATTGGGTCATTATTTGCCTGATTGATTATCTTTGGATATGCTACTTTATAAATCTGTTGTCCACTGTATGGTCAATTTTGGATTTACCATCCAATTCGACACTTATATTGTTTTATATACATTTAGTATTTTTATTGTTACGTATATTGTTTTATATACGTTTGGTATTTTTATTGTTACTTATTATTGTGTATCGGTCCACCCATTTGCCTGATTGATTATTCCTTGGATATGCTCTTCTATAAATCTGTTGTCCATTGATGAGTCAATTTTGGAACCAGGGTCCGATTTCACATTATTTTGGATTATTTGCATTTAGTATTTGTATTACTAGTCTATACTGTGCTATGTTAAAGCGTTACTTTACTTTAATTTTACTCTAGATAGTATGTGACTTTGTACTTAGTTACATGTGGGGATCTTTAGATGAAACCACATCTTTATTTCTACATCACTCATAATCTGTGGTTAATTATAATCGTGTGAATCGATGTAGATTGTTTTGGAAGTAATTATAGTGAGTTATATTATAGTGAGTTAATATAATAGCTGTATTTGGCAAATTGGTGCCATGGCTATAATTTTTATATATGTTTATATTTTTTTTTTCTCGATTCTTGATTGCTCCACATATGGTTGAAGTATTGGTTAACCTACATCTATCCAATCAGTCAAGTGAAAGAAAAAAAAAATTTTTCACTTTAAAAAATTTTTTTTTCTCCAAGTAAGAGGGGAATGTAACGAGTCCGTTACTTAAATACCCACTTACTGTCCTGTCACTGGAATCCTTTAACTTAATTATAAATTAAATTCATTTTGAAATATGCTTAAAATTCAAATAACTTCAGTAAATTTTATGCCTAAAAGTTGGCAGCAAGTTGCGCCCTCTATGTAAAAATTCTACTTCGTTTCCGTCGTAACCTCGTGTGTTCGTTACTTGGTCTTGGAACCGTGAAGTGAGCAGACGTGTTCAGAGGCGGCTGTGGGGGCCATCTTTATGCCATGAGTTTGGTTTAATTTTTTATTTTTTTTGGAAAATCAGTTGTGTTGGAAGAAGCCTTTTTGTTATTTTGTTGTTTTGGGAAAACACTTTAAGTTTGGACCACAGCCAGTGAGTTTTAAATTATAAATAAATTATATATATAAAAACATGTCATATCATCCGCCATTGTTGGTGAAATTTAAATCTAATTCTTTAATCCTCTTTCAAAATACATTCTGGTCTATTTAACTATTCCATTTATTTCCTAAATACCTTAACAGATTACAAGTAATAAATTTTTATAATTTTATTTCTTTACAAGTATGAAAACCAACAATTATCTATTAAAATTCCATACCGTTTAAACCGGCTAATATTTTTTTTCGATTCTATAATCTATATACCAGGCGTTCCTTAAAATTACCTAGTTAATATCCAAACATTTTCATACAGTCCCAAGGTTATTTTTTTTAAAGAAACACATTATAGTTTTTGCTTCAATTTGAAGCAACGTGTTGACATTTCTTGGTTTTTCTTTACTTTCTTGTATGAACAAAGGACTTTGTAGTAACACAACTGTGTTTTTTTAGCCTAGTTACGGATTCCAGGACAAGTCGGGGAGGGAAGAAACACTTTTAATTTAATTTTATGGGGATTTAAACACAGGGGAAGAATTCTATGGTTTTAGTTTAAAGAGTAAAAAGTCTCAGTACCTTTTATTGGAGTCCAGTTTTGGGACCTCTACCCACCTGCATCTAGTTCTTCATCCTGACCACCTCCCAGGTCCACGGAGAAAGAAACCGGCAGGAAGAACTAGTTTTGTTTATTTTGTTTTCCATTTAAATATTTGTAATAATACCTTTTACCTTTTAACTTTTAATACTTCCTCTTCAAGGCTTTAACTTTTCATTAATAATAATTACCTTCACTTTTTCATAAAATATTAATCATTGTAACTTAATTTAGTAAAACATTTATTGTCCACCAAGGGTTGAGATTGTAACTCCCCTGGACTCTCTCGTTATCAGGTTATAGTGTGCACACATATCCGGAGAGGTTTTATTTCATTTATTCGATAATTGTAACATTTATATTATTATATATTTCATTTTATATTATATTTATATAACTATTGCATAACCTTAGTCAGCATTTCACATAAATAGGTACATTTGGGAAAGGGGAAACTGTTTTATCATTGCATTCAGGGGTTTTCATTGTAAATATAGATTAGTTAATTGTACATAAGAGGTGGTGGGTCATAGATAAGTATTTAACATAGTCTGTACATAAATTTTGGGTAATTATTAAAGTTGTGATTAAAAATTAATCTTTCAATTAGTATCCAACTTTTATTATTTCAGCAATACAAGATATCTTGGAAGAAAACATTCAACTTCCTGGCGCCCAAACATTCAGTAGAGCAACTTTATCTTTCATCTGTTTATTTCTTGGTAGCTTTCTTGTCATTAGTTCTTCTATCTTACGGTCACTGTAGGGCATGCAAATTGGCCTAATCCCTCTTGAGTGTCAAGTGGTCATTCTCCTGCATAGTCGCTAGCCAGCATTAATTTTATTATATTTTAAAGTTCATATTTACCCTTTATTTATTTCTTTCATATAATTTATTTCTATCTAATCCCTTCCATCTTCTGTTATTCCAGATATTAGTTCGTTGGTGTATCAAGGTACATTTTAGAGTTTACCCTATTGCTACACTACACATTCTTGTTATATTGGCGCTCCAGCCAATCCATTTTTGTTACAGAATATTTAAAGAAGCGCTGCATAATTTGGAATGGGGCGTGAAAGTTACTGGAATTCTGATAAATACAATCAGATATGCAGACGATACAGTTATTTTAAGTGATGACATGAATGGATTACAATGCATTTTAAATGCCATTGATACAATGGGAAGAGAGTTTGGCCTAAACATAAACTGTTCAAAAACAAAACACATGGTGTTTAGCCGTTTAGCACATCAAGATGCACGATTATATGTTGATGGTCATCTAATTCAAAGAGTGTCCAGTTTTAAATATCTTGGTTGCCATGACTGAACAACTAGATCCAGATCAAGAGATAAAATGTAGAATCGAGATAGCCCGCACGACATTTTTAAAAATGAGGTCATTCTTCTGTAATGATAACTTGAAACTTCAACTTCGAAAGCGTATGGTTAAATGCTACATTTGGTCAGTCCTCTTATACGGTGTCGAAGCATGGACATTAAAAATATCCACCATTAATCGTCTGGAGGCCTTTGAAATGTGGCTGCACAGACGTATACTAAAAATTCCATGGACGGCTATACTGATAAATGTGGCAGTCCTTGAGAGAGCAAATGCTGCTCGCGAGCTGCTTGATAACATCAAATGTAGAAAGATGGCCTATTTTGGACACGTAGTAAGGGGATATCGATATAATATTCTGCAACTTATTATGATGGGTAAAATCGAAGGACGCAGAGGAATTGGTAGAAAGCAGGCCTCTTGGTTGAAGAATATCAGAGAGTGGACACTAATAAAGAAAGCTGAGCAACTCTTTAGAATAGCTCGAGACAGAGACAGTTTCGCCATGTTAATAGCCAACGTCAAGGGGACTTGATAGGGCACGTTAAGAAGAAGAAGGTAAATAAAACAATGTTTTCATAATATATTTATTAAGTTAGAAATTCCACTTCACAATAAATAATTACATAATGAATAACGATAAAAATATTTGATATGTATTATATATATAATAATTATACCAGCCTTTATATACGGGAGGTACATCATTCAAATGATAGTGTCATCGCGTACCAAACACAAACACCTGCACTACTATTCGAAAAAATATATTTGTAAATTTTTTTTATATATTTATATACTTTGACTATACATAAATCTGACCCCAAACCAAATCACAACAGACCACTGTCAAAAACAAAAAGAAATATGAGTGCGTTTGTACTCTAATATTAAAATACACGATATTGTGTATTCTCAAAATTTACGCTTAATTTCATGTAAATATATTCACAGTATGCTTTGGTTGTTTACATCGAAAAATCTAATAGATTAAAAAATATTCTTTTATTTTTATTTTATAATCTATTATTCGTAAAAAGAAAAATCTAATGTTTAAGATATGTTAAATATGCGCGAAAAGTTTAGATAATGTCTTAGGATTGACGCATTAGCCAATCATTTTTATTTTTGAAATAGGTTTAGGGTGAATGGATTTGAAGGCAAACTGTACACCATATATTGACTATATTTTTCCCGTGTTGCGGATGTGATTGTGCTTGTTAATAGATGGCGTGTTCCACACTCCCAGATATATTTGATGGTAAAGTGTCAGGTCGTTATCCTCTGAGTGTGTCGACGGCATCAGAATTTCTAATTATATATACAAAAATCACAAAATCGACACTGTGAGTTTCAAGGGCGTTTGCGCATTAGGCCCTTCAAAGCGCTTCCTATTAACCCGCAGTGTCGCTGCTTAATAATTGTCCTGAAGTCCCCCCTAAGCAGATAAAGTTGAGGTAGGCCAGCACTTTGTTACCCTGCACCTATCGCAACAAAGTTTTAGCATGATCTCAAATTTTTTATACCGAGGTGGGGAGTTCTTGGCCAAAATAAACCGGCCAGCCGGTATTTGATATGTTTAATAATACACTATTAAAACCTATGACTAGTGCCACAATAATTGCTGTAAAGAGCCTACCAAAAACATCCCTTTTATTTATATATCACAACATTTTAAAAACTGTTTAGATTCTGGATTAAAATACAGTAAATACACCACTGACCAATTAAAAACAACTTTTTGTAAAAAGCTTGATAGTTTATCATGAAATTGTTCCATTTCAACAATATTTTTCTTTGCTAGAAATATTTTATTGAAATTTTAATGAGAATTGTGTTGACTATAATTATATAATCGTATTTTGTGCCAATTTTGATTGTTGTAATACATTTTTTTCACAATTTAACTGAGATATATGAGGTAGTTTTGGTTATGATTTTATTTAGGTAAGTTGTGCACACCATTAAGCTTTAATTCTATAAGTTGACAAGAATGTGATGATCTGCCTAAAAAGGACTTTAATAATAGACTGTAACCTGTAGTAAGATCCTTTTTTATTACTAACAGTACATTGTATAAGATAAACAGAACATCTGTAAAATATTGATTATCTAAGTGTCATTGCACAACAGATATTCTTAGTACCTATATATTTTATCGTTACTTTTTAGTCTGAGGAATTACGTGTTGAATTTATCTTTAAATAAAGAATGCAATTGTGTTCCATGAAACCTTTTTTCACAAAGATCAGAAACTTATTTTAAAATAATAATATCACCGTCCTACGAAGTTTTTTGACGATAAATTTCAGGTATCTGTAGCAAACTTGTTGCACACACTTTCAGTGGAAACTATTTTGACTTAATTGTAGTTCTTTATAATAAAAAACTATTGCAAACTTTACTCAATGTACGTCGATGTATATCGAAGAGTTAATTTATAGATCTCAGGCAAAAGCTACTAAAATTGAATTGAGGAAGAAATAAAGTCAAATAGTGTAATATAAATAGATGCATATTGTTACGTTTTTAATTGAAGAAATAAGGCTAGTTTAGCTCAATTTTTATATACATTGTGAAAGACAAAAGAAAACATTTCAGGTATCACAATATAGATAAAGTGTTGATACAAGAAGTATTCATTGAATTCTATTCACCTACAAAGTTCACACCTCAATTCCCCCACAATAGTTTCTGATTGACCTACAAAATATGACACTGTATCTGCAAAATTATGGATCGGGTTTAGCACAGATTCGTTAATTAAAACTTGATTACTTTCATTAATATTGTGACTGAAAGCGTAAACTGTAATTTATTACATACATTCAAGACTACTGCGTTGATTGTCGATGAAGTTTTTGTTAGCAAATTTTTGAAACTACACGATGCACTATCACACATTTAGCTATTACATCGACGTGACTAGGTCGTGGTATATTATATATTTAAATCTATTTTCTTTTAGGTATCGTTGTTGAATTAAATGAAAAGGAAAGTCTCTGGTAACTCCAACATGTAGCTAATTATCTCACTTAAGTTCATAAGGTGGATTTGACAAAAAGAGATACATTCTTTGAAAAACATTCAGATGTCTAAAACATTAATAAAAACTATATGTACTAGTATATATAAATCTGTGTTTTAAAATTGTCTTATGGACTAACAATATACTTATTTATGATATGTGCCGATTTCAAAGACCTTTTGGTGCTTTGATATGTTTGTCATAAGTTCAAAATTGTTGTTGGCCTTGGTTATGTGCAGCCAGCCTTTGAGACAGCAGAAAGGGCTGTCCAGCAGAGTAAAAACATAACCAGGCTCGCTTACCCAAAAACCTTAAAATGTCTAAGGCCACCCTTATAGTGTAAAGTTTGGTGTTATTGAGAGGCCAACGTTTATATTTTTTGTTTTGTAAAATTATCTTTAAAGGAACAAATTTGTAAAATTACGCTTCTATCATTTTGATTACTGGTTGATTTGGAAAAACGAGCCGTTGGTTAAGGGATGGTGTAGACAGGGGACGGAGTTTAACGGACTCTGCTGCTGAACAATGAAGTAGACAGACAGACAGAAAGATACTTAATATGGAAGATATGAATAAAAGTTTTTACTTAAAGGTAGATGGGGTTGGGGATGAGCGAAGAAAATAGCAGCAGGGTCAAATATGGTTCAGTCTAAAAATCCGGTATTCACGAGTTTTTCCAAGAAAAATTTCACATCACCCAACTCGGAATCTTTTATTCCCAATGATTTTAACATTCCCAGATCTCCGTTTTCTACTGCTATAAACACGGAACGCAAATGTTCCAAGTCTGATCGCATCAAGTGTAACGCTGCTCCAAAATCTTCAATTGTTTGTGATTCTGAAAAAGAAAATTTTATTAACTGTAGGTCCTTTCGATATCAAGTGGTAATTCTTAAAGAAAACTCTTTGACTGTCTGTCAAGTTTTCGAATTTATTCTAATTCTTTTTCAAGACATCTGTTAACAAAGAAATATAAAAATTATCTAACTATTATATACTATAAAACTATCTAATTATTAATTGTCTTACTTACTAGTCGTGAGATTACAGTTTAAGCTTAACGGCTTTATGCTTAAGCCAAACTGACGACTAATTTATTATTTTATATTTTTTATCGACAATCAAATTAATAATAATAAAAACTCGATCCAAGATCAAGAAACGATCGGGTATCGACAAAATCTCTATGCCGAATTTTGCAGGGAGTACCCAGAAATTCAAGTAACTGAACAAAAAATTGCTGATAAATACTGGGTAATTATAAGAAACAATCTTATCCGAGAGACTAGACGCAATACCATCAGAAGCGAAGTCGAACGGGAGATTAATCACCAAGAGGTAAATTTAGATCAAGTCCCTAATGAAATACATTAGCAGGTTCCTGAGCTTACCACAGAATATATACGAGGAACAACAAGCAGAAAAGTCATTAAAAGAGCTGATCAAATAATGCTACACACTGCAACACACTCGCAATATGATCTAGTAAACATCACAGCCCATCAGTGCCGGGACACATTAAAACAAAAACTCTCCGTTTATTCAGGACGACTAAGGAGATACAAGGTTAGTAACAGCCGAAAATGTGACAATTCGCTTTTTGAGCATGCCGAGAAGGCGTTCTATCGGAAACTTAGCTCCACTGTGGAAAGTGCCAATAAATCATACCCAAGTCAAGAAGATATTCAGGAGTTTTGGGGAAATCAACTTTCCACACTAGCTGCTCTTAACACCAATGCTGGATAGATAGAAGATACGACGCACAGCTGTCAACACTACTGTACAACGGTCTATGAACCCTTCACCACAGAAGAAGTCTCTAATATCTTCAAAGAGCTTCATAACTGGAAATCTCCTGGACCAGACGGAGTTCAAAACTTCTGGCTTAAGAAGTTATGGAGTGCTCATGAGTGCTTTTCAACATTAATTAATAGTGTTATTTCTAATCCGCAGGAAATACCATCATTCCTTACTCAGGGAACAACTTATTTAATACCGAAGGATCAAAATAATACCCAAGATCCAGCCAAGTAGCCCAATTACGTGTCTTCCAGCTCTGTATAAATTGGTCACATCCTGTGTAGCCTAGCGTATCTACCAACACTGCGCTCTAAACAATATCATAGAACCTCAATAGAAAGGATGCGCTAAGGGCTCCATGGGTTGCAAAGAACAACTTATTAACGACTCAGCCATTTCTAACCAGGCATACACCAAAAAAAGGAACCTCTTCACTGCCTTTATTTACTATAAGAAAGCCTTTGAGTCAGTGCCGCACGAATGACTGGTAGATACCTATATTAAGAATATATAAAGTCGATGATAATATAGTGACCTTCTTAAGACATATAATCACAGACTGAAAGACTAAAATTCATCTCCAAATACGTGGTGAAAACAGTATCGAAACGGAAAATATAATTAACCACGGCCTATTCCAAGGAGACGGTGAGTCCCTTGTGGTTCTGTCTAGCGATGAACCCACTATCCCAGCTATTGAACTCCACTGACTCAGGTTTTAGCATTAAAAACAACAACACTGTAGTGGCGAAGCTTAATCATCTGTTGTATATGGATGATTTAAAACTAATGGCTTCCACTCGAAATCACTTAGATCAAATGCTAAAACTGTAGAAACTTTTTCAAATGATATCAGTATGCACTTTGGGTTAGACAAATGTCGTGTACTAAATATAGTCAAGAGAAGGGTTCAGCCCGGGGGATTCGATATGCAAAATGGCCAAAACATCGAGGCTATGGGCGAAAATGACGTATAAATATCTAGGAGTAAAGCAAGCGCGGAAAATTGACCATAAACAAATGAAAATCGAATTAACATCAGAGTTCATACGAAGGGTAAAACAGCTACTCCGCTCACATCTTAATAGTAAAAATTTGTTTAAGGCATTAAACACCTACGCATTTTCCGCGCTTAGCTACTCATTTGGGATTATTAAGTGACTAAACGGATATAGAAACTCTTCAGAAAAAAGTACGAACATACCTCACAAAGGCACAAAAACACCATCCTCGAAGTACAGTAGAAAGAACGACCTTACCGCTTTATTTAGGAGGACGAGGACTTATTGATATAAGCGAGCAATTAGAAAAACAGATTACTAATTTAAGAAATTATTTTCAGCTGCAGACGGAGACATCTACTCTTTCATCGCGCAATTTGCGCAGTAGATGACACAACACCGATCAAACTGAGGGATAAGAAATGCGCATAAACCATCTTACTAAGAACGAAAAATGCGTAACTGGATGGGTAAACCTCTGCACGGGCGACATCCGAATGAAGTCAGTCAAGACTATGTCGACAATATAGCGTCGAACTATTGGCTGACATCAAGAAAGATGTTCCCTGAAACAGAAGGTTCATTACTCGCCATTCAGGATCACGTTATACCAACCAAAAATTACCTGAAATATATCGTCAAATACCTTCAGGTCCAAAACGATAAATGCCGATATGGATGTGAAGCCCAAGAAACTATCCAACATCTTACCGGAAGCTGCCAGGCATTTGCTGCAACTGAGTATAAGGAACGGCATGACTCAGTTGGGAAGATCCTCCATCAAGAGATAGCTTTTAAACTGTGACTTCTACAAACAAACCATCTCCCATATTATCAATACATTCCTGAGAGTATGCTTGAGAATGACAACTACAAGCTATACTGGGATCGCACTGTGCTCACAGACCAAAATGTAGCACATAATAGACCAGATCTCGTGCTAGTTAATAAACTAACAAGACAAACAACTCTAATCGATGTGGCGATACCTAACAACAATAATCTGCGTGTTAAGTATAACGAAAAGATCGCCCAGTACAGAGATCTGGAAATACAAATAAGGAGACAATGGAGAATGGAAAGTACCCAGACGATACCTATTATTCTTTCTACCACTGGAGTCATTCCGAAGAACCTCCTAGAAATCATAAAAAAAAACTGGGTCTAAATGAACATCTATATAAGATCATGCAAAAAGCTGTGCTACTTTCGACGTCCAAATGCATGCGAAAATTTTTGGGAGATATACCAACGTACCAAGTCACCTAGGACTCGATAACATGGAAAGAGTCCCACCAGAACTCAATTCTTTTGATACCGTAGGTATCTCTGGGCTGAATGAATTTTTCCCTTAGAGGGAGTGTGAGCCGTATGGCTAAATTTGGATAAAAACTATTGTTACTGGTTTTGCTTTCCACATAAAATAACTGTATATTCATTCATATATGTACATTAATCAAACTAACATGATAATGATATATATAATAACAATATAATTGTTTTAACAATTTTTTTTAAATTGTAATATTTATATGTGTAATGGTTCGTTTCATAAAGTTAAACTTAAACTATAATCTCACGACTAGTAAGTAAATTAACAATTATAACTAGATCATTTTTATATTTCTTTGTTAACAGATGTATTGAAAAATAATTAGAATAAATTCGAAAGCTTGACAGTAAGTCAAAGAGTTTTCTTTGTCTTGTGGGCCAAATAGACTGACTGCATCCTCAAGAATTACCACTTATGTTAGTGTCAATAAAAAAGGGGCTATTAGATAACTATTTTTTACTACTCGAGCTTTTAATTGTGCTTACAATTATTTTTAAGAGCTAAAATAAAAATACAAAATATGTGATAAAGGGGAACGAATAATTGTAAATAAAGTAGTAACTCACCAAATAAATGCAAAATTTATTTAAAAAACATTATTATAAAAATTCTTTGCACTCTTAAAAGTTTCTCCTTCTTTTCTGAATTCTCTTAAAAAATATTTATAATACAGTATTGTCCAAAATAAACAGTACTTAAACTGAAACATAGATGCCGCTTTGTGCGTGCTGTCATATTAAAATCAACTTGTATAGACCTGTCAAGTAATCCTTAAACAATTAATTATTAAGGCCTAATTGTTAAAAATGGTGTTAAGTAGAGAGGAGAAAGTGTTTCTTGTGGAGCATTATTTTAATAGTACAAGTGTGCAATACGTGTGTGATCAATTCACGGTTTAATAAACGTTCTCCAAGTAATGCTGTATTTTTGAACGTTGTTGAAAAGTTTAGAAATACGGGTAATGTATTGTGCCAACGAAAAGGAAACTCTGGGCGTCCCAGGAGAGTTAACAATAACGATAACCATGAACGTGTTTTTGAGCGAATCTTCCGAAAATCTGCCGAAAATCCGAATCTTCCGAAGATCGAAAATCCGAAAGCCAGCCAGACAAGAACAGCGTTGCATCTTAGCTTAAAACGAACTTGCTTGCAAAGAATCCTGAAGGAGCTGGGTGCATTTTCGTATGTGATTCAGGTACATCAACAATTACATCCCAGGGATTATCACAGTAGAGTGGAATATTGTACCAGAATTCTTGCATTATAGTATGAAAATCCTGAATTTTAGAAAAATGTATGGTTTTCAGACGAAGCACATTTTTATTTGTCAGGTCATGTAAATCGTCGCACAAATCGATTTCTGGGTTTTGCCAGACCAAATGAAGTTCAAGAAGTTCCTTTACATAGCGCAAAAGTGAGTGTCTGGTGTGCAATTTCGGGACACGAAATCATTGCTCCATACTTTATCGAAGAAACTGGTAAGACAGTCACACTTAATCAACAGAGGTACATACAAATTTTAACACGCATTATCCCTGATCTCCGTCAATTTTGTGGTGCACGTTGTGGTGCACGTAATTTGGTATTTCGAGACCAATTTTTCCAGTAGGATGGGGCAACTTGTCATAATGCTGTCGCAGTTCGTCAATTTCTTCAGCGACATTTTCCAAACAAATATATTTCACGATTTACTGATTGCCCCTATCCTGCACATTCTCCAGGCTTAACATCTCTAGATGCATACATTTGGGGCATGGCTAAAACTGCCGTTAGAGCCTTCTTCGCGGACTCGAGACAACCTTTATTCCATAACATTACGAGAAATCTGGAATATCGGTATGAAGTCTGTCTTGAGAAAGGAGGAGCTCATTTAGAGCATGTTATGAAGTGTCATTAATGTGTATTTTTTAAAACAATAAAATAATTTCAAGTTCAGTACAGTTCATTTTGGGCTATACTGGGCTATACTGTATTATAAGTATGTGAAATACAGATATTGACAAGGACAGACTGAGCGAACTTTTCAAAGAAACCAATAAATTATTAGCCATGAAGGCAGAGATATTAAGATACATGGGAGACATGCAAATAATGCCACCACACCATACAATAGCAATTCTATCCCATTCCATTAGAAGGAAGAAGTGAAGAGAAACATAAGAGAAGACTAAACATAAGAAACTGAAAAAGGAAGAAAAAGAAGAAAATTAAATAAAGAAAAATAGTCAATCGAGCAATGGAGTACTAGGCTTCGGAAACATAAATGAAGCAGGATATGATATGCTGGAATAAACCACAGCAGTAGATATGGCGATTATTAACACATTCTTCCAAACGAGAGAAAGTTAACTTATCACATACAAAAAATAGACCAAATCACTCATATACAAATTATTTCATGACAATAAAAGAAGATAAAAGTAATGTAAGGACTGCTATACCCGTACCTGATAATGCTATCGCAACCTTGTCCACTCCACCTAGTGGTTTCAGTGCATCTCGAGCTTTGCTTCCGAATAATTTTTCCAAATAGTTCGGACCGTGGCTTTGGAGAAGCGATTTAAGGAAGCTTCCTGTCTCTTCCACTGGCGGCCTTTTGGCAGCCGTACAAAGTCTTGAGTCTTCGTCGTACCCGTCAGGGCAGTCTGGCGCCCCATCGCACAAATATTGGATGGAGATACAGTTGCCGTCCCCTGGACATTTGAATGGCTCGTATGGGTGGCAGGCGTCACCTGAAATAAAAAGGTAAGGATAAAAAAGGTAAAAAATGTTGAATGTATTTGATTCGGTTTATAAGTACCGTAAAACGGGGTTACTTTGCACTAAGCAGGGTAACTTTGCACCAAACGTGTAAAAGTATATTTTCTGTAAATCAGCGCTCAATTTTGTTTATATATTTGTACTACCGTTAGAGCACATAGGCAACATCGCAATACGTGAGTAAGACTCGCGCGATTGTCTCTGCGGTCGCCAGTTATCTATCAGCAACGGTTAGAATATTAACCTCGAAAATCTATTATTTTCTGCAAAATCATACTGTGCAGACAGTACCAGCGGACACAAATTGGTAAGTACATGTCTAATGGCATATACCACAATCGATTGCGATTTTTAGTTGTTAAAATAACGATTTTAAACCAGGATATCAATAACAAAAAAAAAACATTGTTTATATGTGCACTTAACACGTGAAATTGGGTATACTTTGCACCGCCAATTTGCAAGTGGTGCAAAGTATCCCCAAGAGTAAAAGGTTAATAGGAAAATGGTTTTTAGGAAATGCCCAGACGTTATAAAAGGAAACTGGGATCTCGTAAATATGCAGACTACTCAAAAGGAGATTTGGAAGCATGTCTGTCAGCAATAAAAGATGGCATGAGTACAAGAGTTGCCGTTGAATCCTTTAACATTCCAAGGAGAACTATTTTTCACAAATTAAAAGGAGTACACGCTGGACCTGGATACCCATCAATATTCTCTTATGAAGAGGAAAGGTGGAATTACGACAAATAATCAAGATTCATTTAAATCGCCAAGGAAAAAAAATAACTCGCTTTAAGGATAATACTCCTGGTATGGATTGGGTCAAATCATTTTCAAGTCGTCATAAGAACCTTACTGCAAGGATAGCCTCAAACATAAAAAGAAGTAGAGCAGCACTCAATGCAGACCAAATGGCTGAATACATACAAAATTTAAAACAAACATTAACTGATGTGGAGCCACATGCTATTTTTAATCATGACGAGACGAACTTAACAAATGATCCTGGACAAAAAAAGGTATTAACTAAACGTGGGGTTAAATATCCTGAACGAATTTGTAACTCTTCAAAAAGTAGCATTGCTCTTATGATGTGTGGAAATGCAGCTGGTGAGCTACTACCTCCTTATGTGGTGTAACAATCCAAGCATTTGTGGGACACCTGGACTGAAAATGGCCCCTCTGGTACGCGTTATGCAAATACTGCATCTGGTTGATTCGAATCTCAGACATTTGCAAATTGGTTTAACACTGTTCTATTACCCAGGCTTAAAAAAATTCAGGGAAAGAAGGTCGTTTTAGGAGACAATTTTTCTTATATTAATGTTGAAGTCCTGGATTTGTGTCGAAAACACGACATTCATTTTATATGTTTGCCTCCGAATAGCACCCACGTTATACAATCGCTAGATGTTGCATTATTTGCCCCAATGAAAAAGGCCTGCAGGGAAATTTTATCTGAATATAAGGAAACTCATGTGGGCAGTAGATCAAATGTACTTAAGAAACAGCATTTTCCAACGCTTTAGAACTGATCATAGCGCTTTACAGTGGCTAATGAATTTTAAGAAGCCAGAGCGACAAATGGCTAGGTAGATAGAGAGACTCCAACAGTATAACTTCGACGTAGTACATAGAAAAGGGCGTCTCCATAACAATGCCGATATTCTTTCTAGGCGACCCTGTTTGAAACGACAATGCCAATACTGTAAAAGACTTGAAGATAAAGAGAACATAACCGAAGAAGTAAGTCTCCAGGTAATCACAGTTATACAGGAAAAAGATAATGATCAGACTTCCCTGGAAAACCTTAAAAAGAGTCAAAAGAAAGATAATGACTTAAAAGTCATACGAGAATGGCTTAAAAATGGAGTAAGACCTATTTGTCAGGAAATCATAAGAGTATGAAAATAATGAAACGCAAACTCACAAATGGAAATAAACAAATAGTCAAACTCAAGGATAGAAATGGCAACATCACATCAAACAGAGAATATTTGTTACAAATTGTGGAATCATTCTATGAGACATTATATAGCAACCAATCGACTCTAGATATAGTCGAATATCAACAGAGGAAAGTCCAAAATCAGGGTTCCGAAGATATACCAGAAATCTCCTTGGACGAAATTTACAAGGCTCTAAAAAAGATGAAGAATAACAAAGCTCCGGGGGAGGACGGTGTCGTCACGGAAGCGATAAAGTTAGGAGGCTCAGTACTGATAGCCAAAATTCAAAAGCTCTTTAATCTATGCCTATGGAATCAAAATATCCCAACAAAGTGGAATAATTCAATAACTGTACTCTTACACAAGAAGGGAGATATAGCAGACCTGGAAAGATACAGACCAATCAGTCTCCTTAACCATCTTTATAAATTATACACCCGAATAATAACGAATAGATTAGAGACAAAGCTGGATTTTCTACCAACCTCGGGAACAAGCTGGTTTCCGCCCTAATTATGGCACAAACGATCACCTGCAGTGCCTAAAAACCCTAATAGAAAAATCTAACGAATATAACCGTCCCTTGGCATTGATATTTGTAGACTTTAAAAAGGCGTTTGATACAGTAGAACTACCGTCCATCTTAAGAGCACTACAAGATTGCAGGATCGACCACAGATATTGTAATATAATTAAAAATATATATGAAAATGCCACAACAACCATAAGTGTATATTCTGCAACTAATAAAATAAAGATAAAAAGGGGAGTCAGGCAAGGTGATACCATGTCACCAAAGCTGTTCATTACCGTTCTTGAGTATGCATTTAAAAGACTAACATGGCAACAGAAAGGAATATCCATCGATGGAGAAAGATTAAACCATCTACGTTTTGCGGACGACATCGTGCTTCTGTCAGATAATCTGGGAGAGATCAAAGACATGCTCCAAGAACTGAATGACATACTACAAGAAACTGGGCTGGAGATAAATTTCGAGAAAACCAAAATGATGACCAATATGGTTCCCAGCGAAGAGATACAGATCAATAACAACAAGGTAGAATTAATCGATAAATACACATACTTGGGTCATGAAATTAGAATAACCAGAGACAACCAAACCTGCGAGCTAAATAGACGAATCACGTTGGGATGGGCGGCATATGGACGGATGAGAGACATTTTTAAAACAAATATCCCAATTCACCTGAAAAGGAAGGCATTTAACCAATGCATCTTACCAGTCTTGACCTACGGAGCAGAGACCTTAACTTTAACGAAAGCTACTACCGAAAAACGGAGGGTAACTGGACATGTTGCTAGAATGGAAGACGGAAGATGGACGAAGAGATTATTGGAGTGGAGACCAAGAGCCGACAAGCGAAGTCGAGGCAGACCACCCACCCGATGGACCGACGACCTAAAGAGAATAGAAACAAACTGGATTGCAGCAGCTAGAGATAGAGAGAACTGGAGACGTTTGGAGGAGGCCTATATCCAACAATGGATGTGAAAATTTGGCTGGATGATGATGATGATGATGATGAACCAAATACAGTGGAACTATAAAAGCGTACTGGGCTCAATGGGAATCTCTGTATCTTTCCAATGGTCTATCATATCGGAAGTGGGAAATGCTGAGGTGTTGAGAAAAATGTCTGAGTCATGTGATGAGGGGAGATAATTGCAGATAATTATCATTATACTGCAGATTAGTTATTAGCGTTACCTATTTTCCTCCCGAAATATTAAACAAAACTCCAAGAAATGCATGAAATGGAGAAAAAATTAAAGAATGGTGGACAAATGAACACATATCGATTCTTGTTCTTAAAATGTGAAAGTTTAAATTCAGATTTTTTTAGTCACATTTCAAATTTCTCATATTTGTTGCCAAAACTTAAAATTGAAATTTTATGTTATAAGTTTCGAAGATTAGGCTCTAACAATGGAAATTCTGCAGTGAACGATCAATGCAAGTGATAAATTTTATCGATCTTTTCACGAGAATCATAAAAAATGGCAAATATAGCGCAACATTTATTTATTTAACACTTTGAGTTGTTATTTTATTTAAAAAACTGATTTCGAGCGCGTAACTGACATTCAAATTCATCGGTCGCTTGAAGCGTTGTTTCTGAGAGAACGGTTCATTTTACAGAAAGTGTGATAATACATATATTTTTGTTCAAAATTATCACAGCTACATTTCTTGTTTGAAACTTTTTTCTGTGGCGTACAGATTCTTAGTAAATCGACATTTTCCGCTATCCCCCCTACGAGGTGGGTTTTAGGGGCCCTATTTTGTTTGGGGGGGCCAAAAATAAAATTCTCAGCAAAATTCATCTTGTATTGTCTTTAGAAGTTTCGGAGACATTTTATTCTGTGACGACTGTCGTATAAATATTTATTGAAAACGAAAAAAAAAGTTTTTGGTTAAACGTAAACGTGTCCAGGTATTGTGACGTCCACCTCTACAGTTTATTGCAAACAGTCATTACTTATTTACAATAAATGATACATGGCTATCCAATTTAGTACATATAAAGTGTTTCTCTATAATTTTCTATCATTACGATAAAGTACAAGCTCTATATAAATTATAAGTAGGTATACAAAAAGGCAATTTTATCAATGCTGTGCATTGAAGCAAATTTAATCATAAAAATAATTTATTAATTAAGTAAATTATTAGTAAACTGTTTACAGACAAAATAAATGATACAATAAATAAATGTTTGGTACGATTTGTACCTTTGTTTACTTAGTTTAACGTTATATTATTTTTTCGTTGTAATTCCTCTTTTTTAATTAAGAAACCTTGTATTACTTATTAATTTCTGTAGTTTGCTTTATTTGGCACCGGTCCGTTTATTAGCCACGCTAATTTGAGACAAATTTTTATAAAACAATCTTATACAGGGTGTTTCAAAAAGGTATGTCATAAATTTAATCACGCATTCCGGGGATAAAAATAAATTGATTGAATCCAACTTATCTTTGTATAAAAGTGTACA